TGCAGGTTGAAAAATAATTGCGTCCACACATGTGTCGGATCAATAAATATTCACGTCCATATGACAACAGAGCACTGAGTGAAAATCATGTAATACATATGCCACACCTGTATGTGGAGCTGTAAACAGGAAACAGCCAGAGCCACTGAACACACAATAAAGACCTTCCTCTTCCGCAACAAACAAACAAACACAAGATGATGATGGTAGATTAAGAAATGTTAATGCAACAGTGCAAATAAACTTAGAAGCGTCTGCAGCACAAACTCAACTCCGTTGTCTCCCATGGTTGTTGTTATGGTTGTTACCGGTTGTTGCATCTTCTGGTCACGTGGCAATGACGAGGTCACAACGTTATTGTTTTCCAAAAAAACTGCGGATATCTTGTCCACACAACAACACAACACTGGCATTCTCAGATTTCTCCACTCTGGAACCCGTTTTCAAAAAATACCGATTTCGCCCACTTCACCTTTTCGACCAAAAAACTTTGTCATGTGGACACCACCTCACTCACAGTGGGAAAAGTAACCACAACTTTTACTCAAGTAAGTGTAAAATTCTGTTGATAGAAAAGTACTCTGAAAAGTACAATTTCTTTAAAGGTCCTAGTTTACACAGAATTGATTTTTGTGAGCTTTACGCCTTGTTATAACGGTGTTTCCTCTTGAAAAAAACAAACCTGGAGTTGTGTTTTGTTTCATTCACACATGTTTGTGTAATCCTACATTACTCTCCAAAGCTCAAAATGTTGTCTGTTCCAACTTGTGATGTCTTGAAGTGGTAGTTTTCAAGTTAACAGCTACTTTTTACTTTTTGTTTGGTGGGTAAATTCCGGGACTGAAATCATCCAGACATTATCCAAAACATGCTTAATTTAGGGCCTTGGTTATAAAAGTGCAAAATATCAAGTCTGTAAGTAAATGAAAAATAACCTTATTGCCTCAAAACAACAAAAAAAAGTGCAATTGCCTCATGACTTTCCTGGTGCGAATCATGGAAACAGTTCATGTCAGGTCCAGGACACAGAGCCACATCACTTCCTGTATTTCCATGGTGTTTATTACATTTGGATTTGCACATTTTGAGTGAAATAAACCTTTCAAATAACCTTTCAAATTGTTACCAACACAAAGGCTCAGAGCATGGACCATTTTGACTCACTAAACTCTTTGGCAAACTTTGGGCCAATCAGAATGGATGGAGCTCATGCATTTGGCAGGAAAACAAAGTTCCTATTGAACACTACTTTTCCCTACATCATCACGCAGCGTATGTGTGACGTAGGATAATGCCGTGAATATGCTTGGAAAGCTGCTTTTCTCAGTTTTTCAAGGGGAAAAAAGTATGTTTCTATCTTTTATGATTCGAAAGTTATGTGAGTTATATAAAACATATTCCCAAGTATTGTATATATATGAAACCCTCGGTCTGGAAAGGTTAAAAAACATTCTGGTGCACTTTCTCTATTACCACATGACATCACAAGGTGTAACTGAGTGTTTTCCATTTTGAAGATAAGCTTCTAAACCTAAAAATGCAGAGTTAATAAGTTAAAACATGTGTGAAACAAAACACAACTCCAGGTTTGTTTTTGATGAGGAAACAACATTAAAACGTAGCGCAGAAAACCATGTAATATGGGCCCTTTAAAAAGTTACTCAACAATACATAACTGCACCACCCACCTCTTACTGTATATCTCTCTTGCATAACTTACACTGAGCTGCTTTGATTGGCGCACCTCTTATAAAAATCACAGTATTTAAGCTCAGGAAATACCAAATGCAGTTCCACATTTTCCTCTTAGCTCTGCCATTTGAGCCTTCTCCCCCTGAGCTGAGTGCCGAGACGGGGACTTCTTACTTTTATGCCGAGATTTCCTAAGTGCTCCAATCTGATGCGGTGCGCTAAAATATATCTCATTTTGGCAGCCCGCGCAGTCCTTTTCGAGCTGCTAGTGTACACAAATCCAAGGTGTTAGCTTCGGGGATAGTTGCTTTGAATGCCGATAACAACCTTGTGTGGATCATTCAAAGATGGCGGAGTGGTTGAGGCTTCTATGGGGAAGCGTGGAGCCCTTTACGAAAGAACCAATTGGGCACTCGACTTCGAAGTGTGTGAGGAGTGAAAGATATTCTGCCTCGCACAAAAAAGCTGCCTATTCTGGGACTAAAAACCTCTATGGGCGTTTTCTCTGTAGACCAAATTCAGTTCGTGGCATTTATCAGTGCCTGTTTACAATGCAGGTGCTCGCCCGGTCGACCAAGAATACACACTTATCCGATATGTTACGGAGATGTGTGGTCTGGACACTGCTTTTATCGGATTTAGGTTGATTGACAGGTGGAGTAGCCAATCAAGGACGCTCTTAGTAGGTCCAAATGAAAATAAACAGCGCTGGTTACGAAAGAAAAATGAAGACAGTTGACAGAAAACCTATAGATACACAAAACTGACTCTTGTGAGCTTTAAGACAGGTTAGAATGTTGTTTCCTCCTCAAAAACAGACCTGGAGTTGTGTTTTGTTTCACACACACATGTTTCACACTCTCAAAATGCACTTTTCCACCTTGTGATGTCATGTAGAGGTAATTGTCCGTAGAGATTTGCAATGCCAGATCTGAAACAATCCAAATGATTCTGATGAAAGTGCATGGAATTTAAACAACACAGTGAAGCACTTTCTGTATTACAACATGACGTCATAAGGTGGAACAGCATGTTTTCTGTGTGAGAGAAGAACTCAGCCTAAATATGCAAGATTTGTGTGTTAAACATGTGTGAATGAAACAAAACACAACTCCAGGTCTGTTTGTGATGAAGTGTAATATGGGCCCAGTTTTTTGACATAGAACCTCATTTCTTCTTTGTTGGAGACGTGTGGAGACACCTTTTAAAATATTCCATCCAGTCCTTGTATTTGCAGAGGTCACTGGTGCTAGACTAGTGCATGTCAATGGCCATAGTTATCCTGCCACTAAAAACAGTCTTACCCACTCCACAAAACACCCAAAACAAATATTATTACACCAGACTGTCCATGTAAATGTCTGTGTTGATAAAATAATGTTTGAAATAAAACTAACCTTGCATCGCCTGAATCGTCGCATGTTGAGGGACTATTTTCTCAGTAGCAGTGGAATATTACTTTGCCAGTAAGATAGGTGCTGGGTGATATCAGTCCACTGCTGCCAAGTTTTCTATCAGGAAATACAAATTGCTGCTGCTGCTCAAATATAAATCTTTCAGATGCAAGGTTGGTTTTACTTCTACAATTCTTCTATTAACACAGACATTTACATGGACAGTCTGGTGTAATAATAGATTTGTTTCGGGTGTTTTGTGGAGTGGATAAGACTGTTTTTATTGGCTGGATAACTATGGCCATTGACATGCACTAGCCTAGCACCAGTGACCTCTGCAAATACAAGGACTGGATGAAATATTTCAAAAAGTGTCTCCACACTGTTAGGTATCCTCAAAAAACCATTCAGCGTGTTCTCTTAAAAATAACCACTGGAATCAATCGATTAAAAACAAAAAGAATTTCAATTACAGTTCTAATACAGAGCTCTGGGTCAGATTGTTGTCCCTAACTGCCTATGGCTACAGACGTCTTACGATCAGGCAATCTGACTGCCTCTGAACTAACTTAACCCAGGTTTTATACACATGAATATGCAAATAATATGTTGAACAGGTAACGCCTTGAATCTTCCCTGGAGTATCTCTGCATTCCTTTAGGTTCAGGGGGGTTGACAGCAGCCAAATGTAAATCACCAGTTTGTTTGGTTTCGTACCAGACCGAACCATCTCCACTGCTGCTGCTCTACAATGAATTTCCTTAAAAGAACACAACCTATATCTGCAAAGGATTACTTCAAAAGCAAACATGTTTCACATAGTGGTACCTTTAAACATACATAAGATTTCAGTGGTTAAACAACTCAATGTGTAATAGTCAAACAAATATATAAATTCAATGTTTAATATGCACATGTGATGCACTCAAGAAACTTCACCACTTGGTACAGCCTTCAACACGTCTCCAACACTCTGGCTCACTAGGAAATGAGGTCCTATGTCCAAAATTCTGAATTGTCCCTTTAAACATGTTTCTAAACTTCATGTCACATCAGGGAGACCAGCACTTTCCATCATCTAAATACAAACCATTATAAACATAAGACGAGACACTGCAGGTGAAGAGCAAAAAGTCTTAAATGTACAGATATCAATTTGAAACTTCTCCTGTAGTTTACTCACATAAATGTAGGAAAAAATGCATTTCAAGTGACAAAACTGACTATTTTTTTTGGCAATGAAGGGAGTTTATATATCACACTTAGTATATGACTAGACTGTAAACATGGAACGCTCCTCTGCTCCTGGTCCAGATATGCGAATAGATTTACAACAATGTGTTCCCATATACTGGAACGTCTAATGTTTTATTGTTAAGTAATATACAATTGACATTATCGTACTCCCTTTTTACTTGAGCACTTACAGGGGCCTCGAGTTTCATATATGTACTTGCCTTATATGTATATCCCCTGTGCCAAACCATCATGTGTGTATAAGCCCATTGTACTTATTATTATAAACTATAAATACTGATGGTTTCTTTTGTCTGTATGTATGTAACATGGAACATCCTGATATTATTAAACTTCTTTTACGTAACTATTCATCTGGCTATGGAGTCAATTCTTATTAACACATCTTGATATCATAGACTAAATATGACTGAAAATGTACCTAAAAATTCTAATTTCGCCTCATTTTTCGAGTTCAAATTTGAATAAACCAGATTTGGAGTTACAGATAGCAAAAAAATCAAAAACATTCGTACTAGATTGTAAAGATCGGTGTGTGTGTAGGTGCTGCTTTAAGTGCTGATCCTTAAGTCCCTATGAGAGGAAAATGCATTTGGACAAAACAGCCTTTGGAGTAACATAATCCCATATAATTCCGTAGTGTCTCCGGAATCTTACCTATGTGTTTTGCCGTACATATGGTAGAAGAATCCGAGGCAGTAGGCGGGTGGGTTGTTGATACCGTATGGGTTTTTAGGAGCTACATTGAAGAGCGGGCTCACGAGTCGCGCCTGGTCTCCTTCTTTCCGAGGTCTGGAGGTCTCGATGTACATGTAGAAACCTGCAAATAAAAACATAACACCAGATATATATGGATGTGGTTACTGTAATTACTGTGTGAGCGGGCAAGCTGGCTGCGTTTGGGGTCAGGGGTCGCAGAGAGGCAGATATAATGAGCGAGAGCACACAGGAAGTGGATAAAAGGTTACACAGACGGGCTTTAATTGGAGATAAATATACATGTATGGAGCCCTTTGATGAGACCTGTCTCTTCTGTAGCTCATACAAAATCTCTGTATTCTTCATTATTACATGTAAAGTAAATGTTTCCATTGACACTAATATGACATTGAGGTAATGTGTTATGCTATTTTTATGTAAGGCTTACAGTGAACATCTTGCAGATAAATATTGTTCATTTAAAAGGTTGCACTATGTTACTTTTCTGTTGGTTGGCAAAGGAGAAATTCAATTTGTCAACTGGACAAAGGTTTTTTGGTCAAATACGTTTGTAGTTCATCCAAGCTGCTGAAGAACTGATGCTACCTGGACGACTGGGAGTGGACTTTTTTGAGTGGGGATATGTGATTCGTGACTGAACCAGGAGTAAACCAGGTCTAAACCAGGTCTAAACCAGGTCTAAATCAGGTCTAAATCAGGATTAAGAGAGAAAGAGAGAGAGAAGCCCGAGTCCACGGAGCAAGTTGCCCGTAAAGTGCAATCTGGCGACAGCTGCGCTTAACTCCATGAGGTACGGAGCTCTGCGCTGATCCTTTCTCCTGCGGTCACCCGAGGGTCTAAGTGGACGCACCTCCGGCCCATCCCGATACTCAGTTCTGGTTTAGACCTGGTTTAGTCCTGGTTTAGTCCTGGTTTAGACCTGTTTAAGGCCTGGTTTAGTCCTTGTTTAGTCCTGGTTTAGACCTGGTTTAGTCCTGTTTTAGACCCGTTTTAGTCCTGGTTTAGACCTGTTTTAGACCGGGTTCAGTCCTGGTTCAGTCCTGGTTTAGACCTGGTTTAGTCCTGGTTTAGATCTGTTTTAGACCTGTTTTAGACCTGGTTCAGCCTTGGTGCCTCAGATCACTATAGGACAGTAGTGCAGATTTCATGAGCCTATGCAGGTTGTTTTCACCATTGCCAGTAGCTCCGGTTTGACATTTAAGTTGTGACTATTTTATATTTGTTATTTTTTATATCTCACCTCGGGAAAAGTTGGTGGACGGTGTACCCCTGCGTACCACGCCCACTACACCCATGATTGTGGCTACAGGAGTTATTTATTTGCGATACAACAGCTTTTTATACTGTGTTTCTGTATAATAAGACGGCTTTTATTACCATGAAATAGTTTTTGAGGAGAGGATTGTTTCAGACGGAGCACTACTGAAGGCCTAGGTGTGAAATGCACGGTCTGCTACTGGATTTTACAAACATTTTCTGTTGGCTGGTCAGTCATCTGCTTATTTCCATGGAAATGTCAAAGCTTTGCCTGTAATGTTCCTTAAGTATCTCTTTTGGACACAACAGTGGCTCAGTTTGCCAAGCGTTTATTCACTGATCCGAAGGTTGGCGGTTTGATTCCAGCTCCTTCAGATTAATACTGTTGTTGTGTTCTTGGGCAAGACACTTAACCCACCCCGCCCCCAGTATCTGCGTACACTGGTGTATGAATGTGTGTGTGAATGGGTGAGTGGTTCTTTGTTGTAAAGAGCTTTGAGGCCCTGGAAAAGCGCTGAATAAAAATGTGACTATTCAACATTTATGCAGAGTTTGTAGGTTAAACTTATGTGAATGAAAAAAAAACCCACAACTCCGGGTCTGTTTGTGATGAGGAAACAACATTATAACAAAGCAGAAAATAGCACAATGTAGCCTCTTTAACATATATTGAACGACAAGTCAATATAGTAATTATTGTGACAGGCCTGGGCACAGGACCTTTATGTAAATCAAAATTACAGAATTAATAGACATCCCTTTTTTGCAGTGTGGCCCTCCAGACAGAATCAAATGGAACAGATCAGATAATTATGCGCAGTGAAATGGGAAGTGTAATGAAATGCCGGACATTTGGAGACCATTAGGAGATTAGGGACGATGCATTATTTACCACAGGACCCTCTGGTGAGCACAGCCAACCTCGCAGCCTTCACTGGAATCCACCAAAATCCTCCTTTCTTTCTTTCTCTCTTTCTTTCTCGCAAATCCAATTTTCTTTTATTCGTTCATTTATCAAGAAGCTGAATATGGAACAGGGGCGTGCGTAGAGAGCATAGCGCATACTAAACGCCTGACGATTTTAGGTAACCCATGGCAACTGGCGGCGCAGGCTCGGTAACGTGATTATGCGGGATATGAATGATCAAGGATGTCCATTGTAACATTATGGAACATCAAGCAAATCAGGACAAAGAGAGCGTCGTCTGGTATGCGCCGCCTAGCACCTTTTCAATACAGCAAAGTGGGGACATTAGCATACTGTGCATTAGAGACAAAAGTGGACTGGTACTTTCAAGAGAGGGTATTATGCACAATCGACTTTTTGGAGCCTTCTACCATGTTATAACATTGTTCTCTCATCAGAAAAAGTGGTTTTAGACGTCATCCAGCAATGTTTGAGTACCGTATTTTTAGAACTATAAGTCGCACTTTTTTCATGGTTTGGGTGTTTCCTGCAACTAATACTCCAGTGTGACTTATATAATTAAAATGTTCAGACTGACAGCCATGAGAGGGCGCTCTAGGCTTGTGTGTTAGTTTTCTGCGCATGTCTCTTGCAGAAAGACTGTCCTGCTGCAAGTAGTGAAATATGCAGCTGAAAATGTTAATTGAGCAGGAGAAAGAAAGTTTGGAGTAAGTGAGAAACTTGTGAGGGACTGGCGAAAAGCGAGGATGGAGAACACAGTTTCATTGGATGGATCGACAAAGCCTGGACTTCAGTGCCAACCAAAACCATCCTGTCAGGATTCAGAAAGGCTGGAATAATTCTAGCTGGAACTGATGCTGAGTCTGATGACAGCCACGTTTACCTCCAGAGGTCGTGGAGTTGCTTGAAGTGACACCGAGGATGAAGAATTCAATGTGATTTAGTGATCTGGAGTGAGATCGAGAGTTTGGTAAATCTGTTATGTTATGTTGTTTATGCTATAGTCCAGGGGTGTCAAACATACGGCCCGGGGGCCAGATCCGGCCCTCCAAGACTTTTAATGTGGCCCTCGGTTGATTTTCTACTAAAATATTTTAATTATATTTTCTATTCAAATATTGTTAATTTTGTGCGGTGTTTATGATAGCAGTGTCTCCAGCGCCTCTGTACGTGGCCCCTCCCACCAGAGCAGCATAGATGAAGACTTGTCTCTTTCCAAACGCTCTTAAAGGACGATCGTTTTGACTGTTGACCGTGACACCCTCATCAGAAAAATGTCCAACATGAGAAAACTGGAGCCGAGTTCAGGATTTTCCAAGAAAAATGGACTTATTCCTATTTGCGTACAAGCTCATGTTAAAACATTGTGTTGAAATTGCATTTTACTTAAAGTTTCAGGTTGTTCATAATATCATAATATTTCGTAAAAGAGTTCATCAATTAAAACAGATTTCTGTAATAGATTTGTGTTTCTCTACACAAATATTTGAACTTATTGTTATTTTTGGGGTTTATATGACATGAGTTTTCTGATCCAGACACTTTGGGATCAAAGTAGGTTGGATACGGCCCCCGGAACAAAATGAGTTTGACACCCCTGCTCTAGTCTATCTGAATAACTGTTAATTCCGTTAACATACCAGACACCTATTCAGCCTGTTGTTCTTTGTTCTGTTGTTTATGCTCTAGTTATGTGAAGAACTGTTCATATGTGGCAGTAACAGTCTGTTGTTCTCGGTTCTATTGTTATTACTATAACCTTGCCTTTCAGGATGAAATGTCAGTTCCTGGTCTCTGATTTTATAAATTAATTTCCCCAATACGACTTATAGTTCAGTGTGAATTATATATGTTTTTTTCTTCTTCATTATGCATTTTTTTGGCCAGTGCGATTTATAGTCCGAAAAACAGGGTAATCTTGAGATCTGTCCTGGGCCCTATTCAAACACTCCTTTTTAGCGCAGGTTGTTAAAGTCACAAAAACAGATTAGAAACTTTTTGTGGAGGTAAATACACAGAGCCACAGAAATTATCTACTGACCCAAAGGTAAAAGGCAGATGTTAACTTGAAAACTACAACGGCAGAACATCACAAGGTGGAACAGAGTATACTGAGCTTTGGAAATGTAGATAGACTAAAAATAAAAGATTACTCAGACATGCTCCAGGTATTTTCGAACATTCTAACATGGCCAAACACTCACAAGAGTCACTTTTGCGTAATATAGGATCTTTAAATAAATATTTTAACGTGAAGTTTTTAATTTCCATGGCCCTGTTTATCTACCCAGATCCACAAAAAGTTTTATTTTGTTTTTTATCATGTTAACAACTTGAGTTGTAAAAAACACAATCAAAACACAGCACTAACTTTCTTCCCAACAAATAATAAAACTGGCCATAAACATATATAATGTCCTATAGTGCATTTGTATATTTCTATTATGAATGGAATAAGATGGTCCATGTAAAAAGGATTCACAGCGTGTGCTAAAGAGTTGTTTATAGCAGACTGTTGGCTTCTGTAAGTGCTGTAATATTTAATACAACACATATTTTGGCCACTGGGGCACTGCGAAAACAAGCTGTTCATAAGATGGCTGCAGCGTGAGAGGAAGTGAATATGAGAAGCTAAACAGGCGGATAACAGGTGAGCAGCTCTAGTGGACTTGTTAAATGTGAAGTGGAGGTAGTGCTCTTGCTCTGTGTGAAGCTCTTACTCAAGTTAGACTTTAAATCTGAGCTTTTGTTTAACACAATCTGACCATAAAGAGCTGGAACTACAGGTGAGCTCATTTGTGCTGTTGAACAAGGCCGTTTGTCACTCTCAACATTTTGTTAAAAATCGAACTCCTAAACAGGACCATGAAAGCTCGTATTGATCATAGGCTCCTGAAAAAGTGCTGATTAAATCCATTTAGTATTTTTTTGAGTTTTCAGATGATTAAAAAAAGAAATAACTCTGATCTGGTGGTACTTGGAAGACCACATTTTTTCTTAGGTGGTACTTAGAGTGATCAGACGTTTGTATTTACCCGGGACAGTCCCAGTTTTGAGCCCTGTGTCCCCTGACCCCACAGATTTATCAAAAAACACAGATTTTTCCCAGTTTTATACAAGAAATGTCCCAGATGTCCCTATTTTTGACCAGTCTGAACCCTGCCAATTGTAAAGAGAGACATAAATTGGTATTTGTTTATGTAAAATGCAGAAAAGCAAACACAAAGAAAATGTGACTACTGTATTTTCCGCACTATTAGTCGCTCTGGATTATAAGACGCACATAGAATGGTCTATTTTCAAACTTTTTTCACAACCGCACCGGACTTTAAACGAAACACAACAGTGTGATGGGTGAGTGGTTTTGTTTGTTTGTTCGTTCACGGTGACTCTGGGCTTTGTTCAGTTGTGGCGTGTAGGGAGGTGCTGTCTGGGACCAGCGGATTGTCGGTGTGTTCGCAGTGACTCAGTTGTTCAGTTGTGTCTAGAAGTGGCACGTTGCACTCGCTTTTTCAAAAGGTTCGTTCCTCCGTTCCGTTCCTCGTCGGTGTGGAGTGATGAGTGTGTCTGTGGGTGTTTTTCGCTGCTTGGCCGCTGTCTGCTCCGTGTGTGTTTGCGTGCGCTGCGGGCTTTGTAGTTTACTGACGTCGTGATGGGGCGCTCTGGATTGTGGTGGCAATCGTTTTTGATGGGGTTTTAGGCTTAAGAGCACGTCTAATAGCCTGGAAAATATGGTATTTCGACTCACATATGTCACGAATGGGTCGAGTGCAGAACAATTTTCCTTTATTACGCACTCATTTTATTATTAACAACCACCCCAAAACGAGGGTGCCCCAGTTTTTCATTTTAAAAATCTGGTCACCCTCGTGATACTTGATGAGAATAGTTTAAGAGTAAAAAATAAGGATGTAACAATAACAGAAATATCGTGATATTGTATCGTCATGTGTCTCACAATAATATCGTTGGCTCTCACAAGACATCAAATTACAAGTTCCTTTGCTTAAATAGATGGTTTTATAGTAGCAACAGCTTATGAACATTGGGAACTACATATCCCATGATTCATTTCAGTGCAGACAACATGAAGAGATATGTTTTTTACTTGAATTCTTGGGATTATGACAGAAATAATTCACACCGAAATCTTGTCAAGGTATTTTAAAAGCAAAAAAGTGTTCCATCTACAATTATATAAGCTTCTTCAAAATATCACAATAAATATCGTATTGTGATATGCGTATCGTGAAAATATCGTACCCTGAGATTTGGATATTGCTACATCCCTAGTAAAGAGTAAAGTAAAGTAAGTAGGAAGTAAATCTAAACTAATTAAAAACACAAGAGTAACATTCTGATTTCATACTTTGTAGTGACATCGTGGTTGGGGGACGGCGAGGTTGGGTGAGGGTGGGTGAGGTTGGGTGGGTACAAGGAAAACTATACAGGCAGATTACAGGTGAGCTCTTGTAGTGGGCCTGATGCTGTAGGCCTCTCCTGGGGGATGTTATCGTCTTTCACTGTTAAATACTCCGGTCACACTAGATTTGTCCCTGTGCCAGGCCACTACACCACAGGAAGTCCAAATAACAAGGACCCCCACAGCACTGATCCTGTGATGATAATGCATTACTCTGCCTGTTTATGTTGGGGATTAAGAGGAAGTGAGTGGCTAGAATAGGTTTTGGGAAAGACATATTAAGAGGTGTTATTTTAGTGTGAGTGTTTGTGAGTGAGTGATTGGTGGTCATTAGAGGAGCCATTGACACAGATTGGCAGCCTTGTTTCCTCCCCAGGGCATCTGTGGCTACAGAAGTATCTTCAAGGGCTACTCCACCAAAATCACTTTTTTCTACTGATTATCTGTGTAAATGAGTCTAAAATACAAATGTATACTTATCTGTGGCCTTCTTTTGGCATTTTAGTACATATTTGTAAAAAATCTGACTTTGGGGTCAAAAGCTGTGTCTGTCATGGCATTTTTAGGATCAGCTACAGCCACTACATTTGAATTTCCAGGTTGGACTAACAGTCGCCAATGAGTCGGGTTATTACATGATGTGCACAGCCACTGGCGTCTACGGGCTTTACGTGTGGAGCACCTCTCAAGCCCGCCTCTACCTGACACCGCTGGTCACTGCAATGTTCCGCCGTGTCTGGAGAAAAGGGAAACGGTGTGATCCCAGCACAAATGTCCACTCTGTTTCAAAGTCTCGAACGCACTGATCCATGCCATGTTGGATTGTTGTGACTGTCAGTCAGCTGTCAATCATCGCTCCAAAGCCTGCCTCACACCCACTCCCCCAACCCGCCAGGCACCGCCCACTCTGGAAGATTTTTCAGATTTTGCTTAGGGGGCGGAGTAAATCTTCGGAAGGATGTTTAATGGCTCCTTAACATCACCGGGTGTGGAGTTAACAAATAATGCAATGTAAAGTGTCACTGAAAGATATATATATATATATAGATAAATCAAACATATTCTTGTTTGGACTACTCAAAAGTTATCATCAAAGCTTTTTATTTTTTGTATGTATTAATATATGAACATTCATAACAGACCAATCCGGTGCCTATAGGGGTGAGCAGAAGGGGGCGTGTACCTTCACCAGCCTCACTTCTGATTGGCTCTTTGGTTTTGTGCTCAGATTTACAAATATGATCCCTGGTTGCATATTAGTTGCTATAAACTGAGCTTCATTTGTTTGCAACTGAATGCGTCACATTTAGTCTACTTCTATTTTCCAGTCTATGGCTTCACCCTGCTTGGATCATATGAGTGCTTAGCAGAGTGGTGAGCCTCACCTTGCTTGGACCCGCTGCGGTCTCCACTGGGCCCTGTGTTGGGGGTGTACTTGGTGTCTCTGGTGGCGGCGCTGTGTCTGGTCCAGTCAAAGTCATCGTTCTTGTCCTGAGTGAACATACAGATGGGCTCGTCCTCGAAACTGCAGTGGAACTCTCCTGGAACAGACAGAACAGAACAGATGTGTGGTGAGGGCAGAGCAACTGATATTTACAGCTGATGGCATCAACATGAGGGAGAGGCAAGCTAACTGGAGGCACTGCTCTGTCTGAAACTCTGTTATTCAACAAGTTAGACTTTAATCTGATCTTTTTTTTTTAAACACAATCTGACCATAAACCGACTACAACACCTAAGCTGATCTGTGAAGTTAAACAAGTCTCCCACATAAAATTACATTAGATACATTGTACCATGGTATCCCCAGGTTTGACTACCCCAAATTTAAGACTTTTTAAAGACCTTTTTAAGACCACTTAAATGAAAATTAAGACCAACATCGCACCCATTATGTGGCTGAAAAACACCATATCCGATTCCAATAATGACCAACCAACTACCAGTTCTGTATCTAGAATCTAAAAAACACTGTGGATTAAATCTACACTTCTCCATGATCCATCCAACATCTTCCTCCACTCTACTGATTGTTTACTCATTGCTGCCGGCGCCAGAAACCAAAGTATTGTTTGTGCATACTCCAAATTCGACGGTCATTCTCGTTACATGATTTCACATTGTTTTTTTTTTGTTTTTTTCATTGCACTGCAGCCCGGTTGAGTATACAAAAAATTAGGCTAATGAAATTTAAGACCTCTGTGAAAAAAATAAGACTTGGACAACATAATTTAAGGCTTTTTAAGACTTTTAAGACCCTGCAGCTACCCTATGTACCATCAATGTACACATACCACTAGAGGTGTAACGATATCCAAGTCTCACGATACGATATCATCACAGTATGAAACTCACGGTACAATATTTATTGCGATATCATGGGAAAGCTCACAATATGGTGGGGAGGCTCACGATTACAGATTTAACAATATCCAAATTTCTCGGTACGATATTTTCACAATATACATCTAACAGTACGATATTTATTGCGATATTTTGTGGAGGCAAACAAAACTGTGAATATGCGACTTTCCTCTTAAAATGGCTCGACAAGACTTAATCCAAAGAACTAAGATTTAATAGTGTTTAGAACTGTTATTTCTTCTTGTAGTCTTCACTGAAATGGAGCAAAGGATCATGGTCTATGTAGTTTCCTCTGTCTTTTTTTTACCTATTGCTGCACCATAACTTTTAATTTAAGCAAAGAGACTTGTAATTTGATGTACTGTGATGGTCCACGATATTATTGTTAGAACTTTGACGATACAATATCACAATATTTCAGTTATTGTTACATCCTTACAAGCCATAATTTGAGAAACACTCGTCTAGATTATTTCATCTTTTTTCCAAGATTAAATGACAAAAATGTTTTTCCTCAGCAGTTGTCTAATCAAAAACTAATTACGTTTAACATGAATGTACACCGACCATGAGCATAAACATGAGGGTTCTAGGTTTTATATTACCCAAAAGTGACTCTTGTCAGCTTTAGTCATGTTATAAAGTTTTAAGCAAAACACAACTCCAAGTATATTTTTGATAAGGAAACAAGACATAACATAGATCAGAAAATAGAGCAATATGGGCCCTGAAAGAGTGAGAAGAGAGGAGATAGAGCAAATGACTGGAGCCATGAGAAAGTCTAACGTGACTCAAATATTCTGCAAATCAAGCTATTTTTCCCTTATATTTTCCACATTTTCAGCCTTACATAAGCAGAGAGGCAGATCTGGGGGGAGACGTTACTGTTCCTGTGTATTCATGAGGCCTCCCGCGGTGAAGGGTTTCCCAGGGGAGAACACAGGGGCGCAGTAATTAGCACACGTGGAGATCTAAATAAGGAAATGACCGCGCCGTGACTGTACAGACGCCATTATCCAACAATGACACGAAGAGAGATGAACATGTACGCGGTGAACGCTTAAGTATCTGCCAACCTGTGCGTGAACCTACGGGATTAAAAAAAGACAAGATTCACCTGGTCATGAGGAAGAAAGAGTTTGGTGATGTGCTTTGATGGGAAAGTTCCACAGTAAAGTATTAAACCTATTGAGCGGGTAAAACCATTTGACCAAGTTCAGGAAATGCATGATTGTTTGGCACGACTGTAAAGCACTTTGACTGTAAAGCTCTTTATAAATACAATTTGACTGATTGACATGTACGTTTATTGGTAGAATGTGGGAGACCCAGTGCAACACATTAGCAAACATGAGCAAATATGTTTTAAGATCGTCGGAAACTACAGAATAAAAATAGAAAAAATACAAAATGGATTTAAACAACACATTTTCAGGAGCTTGTGATCAATACGAGCATTCATGTTTCTGTTTAGGTGTTTGATTTTCAACAAAAAGGTGAGAGTGACTAACTGAAATACTCTTGGTTAATACTTCCAACTAATGCTACGTTTATACGATGACGGTCTGAACAGAAGACGCAAAAGTGGCATCGCGTCTTCACTTTTTATTCCATGTTTAGACAAATGTTTTTGGGAGGAAATATGCGTGTATACGGTGATGCAAAAGTGTGTGGAATTCGTTTGGGTATGCGTGCCAGGTATGTATGTGACGTAAACGCGTACGCGATGTGAGCAGATCTGACCAGAGTTTTGCGTCTTGGGCAGTGTAGACGGAAACGCTACAGCAGATTGGATTTAACTTTTCCACTCTGGAGGGTGAAGCTCCAAAAACGCCATCACCGTCTAAATGAAAGGCACTTCTGCTCAAATATTTTGTTGTTTTTACCTGCAAACGTTCTCGTGTAAACAGGCCCTAAGTCAGTTCTTCGTGGTCAGACTGTGTTAAAACCATAGACTGTATAAAAAAGTGGACTAAGTGAGTGTGACGTCACCCATAGTGTTCGGCTCCTGTCAAATTAAGCTTGCGATGCTAATAGGATTTTTTTGATGAACAAAATAGTGGAAAAATAACACCGGTATCATGTAGAGTGGGTTAATGCAAACATTTTAAGACCAAAATGACAAGACTCACTGCAGCAGTTACGGAGAGAGGGGCCACAATATTCCAGTGTAAGTCAATGGGAGCCAGGGTCAGAAAGAGCCAGAAGTCTACGGTTTAAACAAAGCTCAGATTGAGGATTGAAGTCTAACTTGAGTAACTTGAGTAAAAGACAGATCTTACAGTTAGCTTCACACTCCCAGGTGAGGGCTTCATGCTCCACTTGGATTCTTTTGCGAGGTCGTTCACATTTCCAGTTAAATGTGACCTGTATGTGATCTCCAGCGTGAACTGTAAAAGTGTCCCGTATGTGCATTGGAGGACACGATGACGTCTCATGCAGCGAGTGTGCTCAGTGTTTACGGAAATAGCCTAAACATGGACACGAGCATTGAGCGCTTGGAGATTTTAAAACTGCTGTCGTACCGGAGCCAGAACATGTACAGCTTATTTGTTTTAAGAAGGAGATTGAGAAGGAGAAGGATGAGGTTTTTGGCCAAGGTGTTTTGTGAGGTAGTGGCACCAATGTCCATAGAAAGGAAAGTGTTTGTGCAGAGTTGCAGCCAAGAGTGGTGGGATTGATATGTGCATCGCTGCTTGACTGACACAAAGTTCATACACAATTTTCTTATGACGAGAAGAACGTTTGTGTACATTTGAATAAAACGTGGCAGGCATGTTAAAAGATCGGATATGTATTGGTTTTAGGACCAAATATCCAAGCGGCCTGGGTCACATTTAAAATAAATCGGATCTGTGTGGTTCAGACTGTCATTAAAAGATTAAATACAGGTTGCATAGGGGCGAAAAAATCAGATTAAGGTCACGTTAGGCTCTAGTCTGAACGTAGCCTTAGTGACATTAATTGCAAAGTATCAATTGTGCAATTCAGACAAGTTTTGGCCGTTGTTAACATTATGGCATAGACTAATAATACAGGATTACTCAAACATGTGTAAATGAAACAAAAACACAACTCCAGGTCTGTTTTCGATGAGGCAACAACATTCTAACACGTCTTAAAGCTCGCAAGTCATTTTTGCGTAACATACGACCTTTAACTCTGCTTTTAAAACTTCGTACTTGTACACAAAATGCTTACTACATACTTTTAAACGTCCTTCAAACTTCTCATCATGTTTCAACTTTTTTTTTTTTGCGTTATCCTCCCAAGCATCACAGACAAATTTACCTATCACGCTCACAATGTTAAGAATAGGCCACAACACATAGGCCCTATCACTGCAGAACCCTTTATCCAGTGACAAATACTAGCAGATACTTGTACTCATTTGTCCTTATATGTAATGATTGTCTGGTCCCACTTAGACAAAGCACGACGTGAATTTGAAGAATGATTTCTTTTAACGCCGAGAAAAATGGTCGAATTGTCCTTGAATGCAGCGTCGCAGTGGTACAAGTCTATGCAATCAGTTTGGCAAATTGGCACTCCTCTCCTCTCCTCCGTCTCCCTCCATCTTGTGAGGGTGAGTGGGTGCAGAGGTGGGCACCCAGTCACCTCCCTCGTCCAGGGTGCTCCCGGGGGCCTTTGGGTGCATTTTTTAAACCACTCAAGTGTGCACGGCGCCAATGAAACTTCAACTGAAAAGAGTAATTGTCGGCAGCGAGAGGTCACCGGTGGATAGACTAATAGACAGAGGAGATGCAGCTGCAGGCGCTATAGAGGAGGAGCCGGCAGAGTCAAAACCTGCATTTAACTCGTGATCAAAGCAACAGATAAATAAATATCTACAGTTGTACGCTTAGTCACATTTAAACTTGTGATTTTGATTTACAAGTGCAATACACAACTTTTCTGGTGGAGTTTGCTGGCTTGTCTTCATAGGAACATGATTGCTTTGGCAGAAAATGTATTTATTCATAGAAACAAGGACCGCGCGCACCAGGCTATTTTAAATGTCACGTCTGTGGAGTGGCAAGCCTGCAAACCTTTCACGCTCAAAGCTGAAGCAATCACGGCTACAGTTAGACTACGTTCAGACTTGCAGGGCTTAATGCTCAATTCGGATTGTTTTGTGAAATCAGATTTTTTTGCAAGGTCGTTCACATTTCCAATT